CTAAACCCTAAACCCTAAACCCTAAACCCTAAACCCTAAACCCTAAACCCTAAACCCTAAACCCTAAACCCTAAACCCTAAACCCTAAACCCTAAACCCTAAACCCTAAACCCTAAACCCTAAACCCACCCCACTTTCCCTCTAAGGCTCTCTGCAGCTCTCATGCGGAATGATGCCAGGCCTTTGAGAGACACTCCAAAAGCCCATCTCGAAACAGAAACCTAAGCCGCATGTTAGGGTTTAGGGTTTTAGGGTTTAGGATTTAGGGTTTAGGGTTTAGGGTTTAGGGACAGGCTTCTTGTACCTAAGGATCAGGCGGGGGAGGGGGGGGGGGGTGTTCCGAAGTTAGGGCTTAAGGTGTTAGGGTTGAGGATTTGGGGGTACCTTATTGGGGTCCTTATTATAAGGCAAGCCTACTATTTGGGGGGTCTATATTTGGGGTCCCTAGTTCTCCAAGCCCCATATGAACCAGGTTTATGGTGGTTTCCCAACCAGACAATCGGTTTATTGAAAGACTGTAAGAAAGAGCATGATCGAATGACAACATACGGGAGGAGGATTGTGTGGGCAATCTGAGGTACCTATAAGCCCCAAACCTTGAAGGTGAAAACCATGGTACATGATGCTGTGGGCTAATCGTCGAACAGGGGTGTCAAGGTTTCCAGATGAGGCGGCGGACGAAACTGGGGAAGGGTTGAACCCAAGGCTTCTTATCAGTTTGGGGTTTAGGGTTTAGGGCAAGTATGTCGGAGGTGCTGTAGCTCTTGGATAGTTTGAGGTTGGCGGCTTTATGTTGGACCCCGATATTGCGGGCACTCTGGACGCCAGCCGTTCCCATCACGTACTCTGTGCGCATGGTGTCAGCTCTGTTCCTCACTGTGGGATCCGACTAAACCCTAAACCCTAAACCCTAAACCCTAAACCCTAAACCCTAAACCCTAAACCGTGATTCCCTTCGAAACTCGAATGCTGGCAGGGACGATATCCAGGCGGCCCTAGAGAAGGAGGAGCGAGACCGCCAGGAGTGGATGGAGCACCTTGGCAGACCCCTACTTTTCAACTATTTGCTTCAGAACCCCAAAAGAACAAAAAGTAATATTCCCTATATTACCCTTAATAAGGTAGAATTTTTTTGGGTTTCTTAAGCAATTCGTAGTTTTGTTGCACAAGCACCCGAAGCTTTCATCTGCTCGGTTTAGGAGCCAGCTTGGTGCTTAAGAATGCTAGCTCCCTTAGGCATTATTTGTATTTTTATTTGCATAAAACCCAAAGGTGTACGGAAAATAGGATTTATACTTTGAGGTTCCAAGGGGATTATAGAAGATTTCCAGAGCTCTGTGCATGTCTTCCATGCACTTTTGAAAGCTGTGAGGCTTCCCAGGCTAAGCTTTTTTCAGGCAGCTTTTAGGGTTAAGGGTTTAGGGTTCAGGGTTTAATCCTGTTCTGCACAGGAAGTGCCCTTTCTCAGCCCACAAGCCAGGAAGGTTCACAAGATCTCGGCGGAGATGAAAGAGTTCAAGGATGAAGAGACAAGGCGCTTTTCAGGGCTCAGGGGCCGGGGAGCTATTCTTGCTCGATATGAATTGGGATGTTCCAGCCTTATACTAGCAGTCCTGAATCGGATTATAGTACCACCCCCCCCCCCCCCCACCCCCCCTTATTCTAATCCCTATTTCAGGACTGCTAGTAGAAGGGGGAGCATCCCAAAGTAGGCACCATAAGTTACAACCCCCAGTGGCTGCAAATGAAAAGCTGAAAGCCACTCTTGGCCGCGGTCTCTTCGATTTCATAATTTCGGCGCCTTCAAAGAAAGAAGGAGCTTCGACTCTTTGTTGTGCTGTACTGTAACTTTAGATCCTTAGCCTTTTTGGGTTTATTGGGTTTCCTAGCAAGGCAGCTAGCAGCTTAATTTATAGCCACCCTCCTAAGTGCAGCCAAGGACTCTCAGGGTACCTAATTCCAGAACAAACGAATGGATGTTCCGGCAGGTCTTGCAAATAGTGCAGACGGGTGCTTTTAAGTAGCATTGTGTGTACGCTCCTTTTCAACTTTGCCCGGACAGGCACAAGGCCTTCCGCGAGCAGCACGCCAAGGCACCCCACGTGGGTAAAGCTTTTGGGTTGCTTTTCGGGCTCGCAAGGTTTAGGGTTGAAGGGTTGCTGCCAAGGACAAGTGGGCAGTCCCGAGAAACCCTAAACCCTGAACTTCCCTAAACCCTAAACCCTAAAACCTAAACCCTAAACCCTAAGAGGCGATGCGGGAGCACTACGCGAAGACGGGCCAGCTGGCTATCTGAGTCTGACGGGCTCGCTTTTGCCTGCTCATCGCCACTGTTAAGTTGCTTCAGCCCATCGCCGCTCCTTGCAATCCCTAAACCCTAAACCCTAAACCCTAAACCCTACTGGAAAAGCCCGGAAGCCACCAGATCAACACTCTGCAAACATAACCCCATATTACCCCGCAACTGCACCTTTAGCAGCAGAAGCCACACTGAAAAGAGAGACGCCCTAGAAAAGTCGGGGTTTCGTGTGCCGCCCGCCTAGTGGGCGCCAAGCCGCGGAACCCGTCAGGGGCTACTGTGGGCAGAATCCTCGCAAACCCTAAACCCTAAACCCTAAACCCTAAACCCTAAAGAGGACGTCGTGCGCAGGATGCTGTTAGGCTCTCAGTAGCCTCATAAGGGTCCATGTACCTCATCTTAGTAGCTGAGTGCACTTTACACTTTTGGGGGGTAGTATAGTTTAGGGTTTAGGGTTTAGGGTTTAGGGTTTAGGGTTTAGGGTTTAGGGTTTAGGGTTTAGGGTTTAGGGATACTATAACCCCCTATAGAACTGAAAGTGTACGCTTTTTTGGGGGCTTATGAACTCAGCAACTATGTTATTACTTTTCTACTTGGACTCTAAAGTCCCTTTATCTTAGAAGGTACTTTAGGACCCAAGTAGTCCCTGTTTAGGTACATGGACCAGTAGGGTAGGGTTGATGTTGGGGTTTCCGGGGTTCTGAGACCCTAAACCCTAAACCCTAAACCCTAAACCCCAAAGGCTGCTGACTTGCAGGATTCTCGCCCGCAGCTCCGCACTATGCCGTCTCACCGTGATGCGTCACACCTAGGGCGCCCCTCCGCTGCTGGCCAAAAAACTTGGGACTCCTGGACTTTGCCGCGCACTGGGGTGAATTACTATGATACGTTTCCCCGAGATGATCCTGAACTTGCTTTCTCATTGGGGCTTAGGTTGAGGGTCTAAGGTTTATGGGGCTCAGTCTTAAGGGGGCTGAAGCCCTGAAGCCCTAAAACAGTGAGCTCCCCGACTTTCCAGCATGCAGGTTGTAGCATAACACAGGGGTGCTGCGACATGCACAGTGCCCGTGCTGGGGAGCCTCTTTCAGGTAGTGCTTGACAGCTTCCAGCCCTGCGATCACGGCGATTTTTGTACTATTGCTATATATAAGCCCCAAACCCTAAACCCTATGCCTTCATAGGCCGAATTAGTATGTTCTCAAGGGTTCTGGTAGCCTAAGTATTGTGTCCCCGAAAAGTATAGGGCCATGAGCTCTGAGCCTTATGAACCCCAAGGCTTCGGGGGTTCGTGAGATCTGGGCAGCTACCCCGTGACTTCCTTCGGGGTTTAGGGTTTAGGGTTTAGGGTTTAGGGTTTAGGGTTTAGGGTTCATTCGCTTCCAGGGTTCCAGGCGCTACAAGAGTCAGCGTTGGGATATGAAGTAGGGGTTGTACTACAAGCATCCTCAAAAGACCCACGCGCCAATATTTGTCAGGCATATATGGCTTCAGCAGTAACTACAATGTATAAAGTATAAAGCCTCAGCCGTGTCCTGCGCAGCTGTCGGCTCAGGCGCCTAGTACACAGACAGCAGATATTCAGGACACTCAACCTGCGCGCCTCTGCAGAACACTGAGCAACAGGGCCATGGGACGCAACTCCCATTCACTAGCATACTGCTGCCAAGGAAGATTAGGTGCCACCACAATGAGTGACCCCAATCTTGCAAACAGATTTGCGCTCGGCCGGCTGCAGACCCCCCTCAACCCTAAGCTCTAAACCCTAAACCCTAAACCCTAAACCCTAAACCCTAAACCGTAAATTGCCAAAGGCCTGACTTGCAGCGATTTGTTTTTCTCATTCTGCGAGTGCTCGAAGCGCCAGGACGCTAAGGCCTTCAGGAGGGCTCCCATTCAAGAGTCTTAGGGTTTAGGGTTTAGGGTTTAGGGTTTAGGGTTTAGGGTTTAGGGTTTGTTGTCTTACCAAAGCGTTGCACGAGAGTTTCGCTCGTCTTGAGTGGTGCGTAGCATAGAAAGCATTGCAAAAGCTTAGCCTGCAGGACATGGAGCTGCATGGCCTTTGGTGGTGGTTGCAGTGCTTTTGTGTGTGTGTGTGTGTGTGTCAGTCTGTGTGTGTCAGTCTGTGTGTGTCAGTCTGTGTGTGTCAGTGTGTGTGTGTGTGTGTGTGTGTGTGTGTGTGTGTGTGTGTGTGTGTGTGTGTGTGTGTGTGTGTGTGTGTGTGTGTGTGTGTGTGTGTGTGTGTGTGTGTGTGTGTGTGTGTGTGTGTGTGTGTGTGTGTGTGTGTCAGTCTGTGTGTGTGTGTCAGTCTGTGTGTGTGTGAGGGTGCAAAGCTGACGAAAGGATTCCCTGAGCAAAGCACGTAACGGTGAGGCCACGACAACTGTGCAGTCACCAGTACAGTTAGAAGTACAGCTATAACTGGTTTATAAGTACCATGAACCTCCAAGTCGAGCATCGGGGGCCGAGATTTGGGCACAGCAGCCTCGTCAGGACTCCGTTTGGGCGACAAAGGCTGGGAGATGAGGGAGCCAGGACAGAGCTTCTAGAAGGTGCGTGCTTTTCATGTAACGGGTTTAGGGTTTAGGGTTTAGGGTTTAGGGTGATAGAGCAAGGGCTCGGTCAAGGTAGAAAACTCAAACTTGCACAGACCGCGACCAGTCTCGGCTTCATCAGAGAAGTTCACAGCAAGCCATAGTCCAGCATGGCAGCGGCATCCCGCAATGCTACTTGCGGACAGTGGATAGAGGCTTGGTAGCCCAGTGGTGCCTATATCCCGGCCTTTTGTTTAAATAACTTTCCTTCGTAAAAGAAGTAGCCCCCAAAACCATCCCCCTAAAACTACCCCCCAACAAGCCACCCTTGTTAGAATGCGGCTCCTGAACTACCAAGGAGCTGGACCCTCAAGGTCACCTCAAGGTCACCCAAGGCCCTGCGCAGCTTCCCTGCGATGACACTCCGTTGTTGATTCTCTCCATACTGGGTGCGCAGCGTTTGGGGAAGTCATCGCTCATGAACCTCATAGCCCGCTGCCTCAGGGTGTTTGGGGTGAAGTTCAAAGTTCAGTCCATTCTGGAGGAGCAAGAGTCTTGCACCCGAGGATGCTGGGGCATGTTCATGCACCAGACAGTTGAGGTGGGGTCGCAGCAAGTGCGACTTGTGTTCGTGGACACGGAAGGTCTCACCGAGTCTGATCCCGGCAGCTTGATGACCTTCTCGGTGGTAAGCATGCTGTCTTCGGCAGTGCTTTTCTTGACGGACAAATCCATCACAAAAGATGTTGCCAGACGGCTTCGCGACATCATCACGGCAGTGCATTGTTTGCAGGAGCTTGAGTTGTCTCGGCCACATCTTGCCCTCCTGGTGGCAGGCTTCGGCGACTCCAGGGAGCATGCCAAGGCATGCCGCTTGCCAACATGGTGGGGTGAGTATGGAGAAGCTATTCAAGCAGGCTTCCCCAGTATGGAGGTGCTGGGATTGCCCAGCCCTTCCGAGGTCGAACGGAATTGGCTAGAGGCGCAGGAGGAGTCACCTCTTCCACAAGCAGACTACGTTCAGACAGCGCAGGAGTTCACAAAACACCTCCTCGAGAAAGTCGAGCAAGGATACCTTCGCCCGAAGCAGATGGGACAAAAAGCGGTGACTGGCGCAAACCTGCACAGCCTCCTGGAAGTGCTCGTCGCTCGATTCACCGAGAGCGATGCGAATCAGGCAGCGGTTCCTCCTTTTGATCAGCTGCTCGTGAAGGTATGCGACAGGGCCACAGAAGCTGTCTTGGACCTTGCGAAACAGCACAGGGACAGGCTACAGGCCAAGCCCATGTCGGCACCGGATGTGCAGTGGCAAACCGTGCACAAGGGGTTTTACATGAGTCTCTGGGATGAGCGAGTGGCCAAGAACGTGCCGGATCCAAGCCATGAGATCGTGAAATCAAAGCGGAGCGCCACGAAGGAGCAGCTTCAACTTCTCGGAGAATCATTGCAGAGCCAGCAGGAGGATGTGGATTTCCTTGGGACGGGTTTCTCAGTAGTGCCGCAAAGACCAGTGCGAATATTATCCTATGGTGCGCTCGTGGTGCTCATGGGCCATGAGGTCCAACTTGACCCCCGCGATTTGCAACAGACCAAAGACCTCACCATCGTGGCCACTCGCGTTGGGCTCTCAGTAGTTGGCAACTCATAGCCCAGGCATACCTAAAGTAAGCAATAAGTGAACATGCTTGAACACAGGGGCTGATCCAAACCTTCTCTCTGTTAAAGGGAACGTTGATGCATAGCAGACCCGTAAACTAGCAGGGATTGAGGCAGCCATCAAGAGTAGGAGCTCGATTTAGGGTTTAGGGTTTAGTTTAGGATGTAGGGTGTCTCAGCTGTGGGCTAAGGTTGTCCTTCCTTCCGGCGAGATCAAGCTTCCCGGTCGTTGCGTGTGCATTCTTTGCGCTGAGCTGGAGCTTGGGTCGCGTGAGGAAAGCGTGTTTTACCTGTTGTATTGTTGTGCTACATCTTTTTCGCGAGGAAAACAGTCTAGACATCAGCAGGAGGTATATAGGGGGAGGGCTTTCAAAGACCGATGAATGCCGAGCATCTCAAGGTATGCGCAAGTGAGAGGGGTACCGCGCTGGATGTGTCCGGTGCAAGTGGCAACAGCTGGCCTCTCGTTGCTGGGCCTGCAGTGGATGGACAGGCTGGGACAGACGGCTCTCCAGGAGGCTTTGTGCACATTGTCTCAGGCAGGGTGAAGGGCATGCTGGCTATCCATGCCCATGGTGGCAATGGTGGAGATGGCCAGCAAGGTGGGTGTGGCAAGGCTGGGGAGAATGCAAAGGGCTACCCCTCTGGCCAGGCATGGGGGCGTGACCCCACAAACTACATAGCAAAGGCCATGCCAGGCCAAAGTGGACAGCCAGGTGGTCAGGGAGGTACAGGCGGCGCTGCAGGCAAGGGTGGGAATAGTGGTGCCATCAGGGTGGAAACGGTGCACAACGAAGGTACAGTAGTGAAGCACTGTGATGCCGGCCGTGCCGGGGGTCCAGGTGACGGTGGTGAAGGAGGCCCTGGTGGTAAGCGACACCCGGTGTCGACGATAACTGGCACCAAGGATGGACACAATGGACGCCAGAATCCCTTTTCTTTTGACTGCAAGGGGAATGATGGTGCTCAAGGTGCAAGAGGCGCCCGAGGGGCCGAAGCGGCAAGTGGGCAGCAGGAGGCACCGAAGATCTTAGTGACTGAGGCTCTCAAAGAGGCTTTGTGGCAGCAGCTGCTGACCTCATGCAGGGATGAGTTGTTCAAAGGCAACCTGGATGTGGCCAAGCGTTTCCTCACGCAGTACACCGAAATGGGGGGCCCAGCGACATGCTGCTTGTATGAGCGGGTTCGTTCAACTTGTGAGGGCACAAGGCCTTACGTCTTGGCCGTTGCTCCTGGGCACGTCACCCTCCTGCAGTCAAAGTATGTCGAAAGAATGTACGCGGAGAGGGCCGTCCCACTCCTGAAAGACTTGGAGGAGACCTGGACCGAGTTGCGAACCTCATGTGAGAAGGGCCACAACGCAGCAACGGAGATGACAAGAGCCCGGGATTCTGTCGAGCAACGGCTGGCTCAACTATCTGAGACAATTGCTCAGCACTCAGCCCAAGCCGAACAGGCCCTCAACCATGCGGAAAACCTGCGTCCGCAAATTGACGCGGCCCATCACGAGCTGGAAGCTGCCATTGGTCCAGAGGTCGAGGCTGAGTGTGCCCGGTTGCATGACGAGCATCAGAAGGCCCTGAGGCGCCAAAGGCGGAAGAGAGCCATCCAGACGGCGTCCAAACTGGTTGAGGAGGGCGTGTCCTTGTACTCGGGAGGCTTCTTCAAGTTGCACAAGGACTTCAAGGACGGCTACCAGAAAGTCAAAGACCTGGGGGATACTGTGGGTGGCCTTGAGATCGAGAAGCTCAAAGGCATTGGCAAGAAGGTGGGGGAACTCAACACGTCATACCAAACCGTCAGGAAGAAGCTGGAGGAGGGTAAGACAGCGTGGCAAAAGGTAGATGACGCTCTGGAAGGCAAGGCAGCTTCAAAGGGTGCTATCCTTCCGCCTTCAATGATCAATGCTGCATTGGATGAGATGGTGGGTACGATGAGCTGCCGAGTGCAGCAGTGTATGGCAACCTACCAGAAGTTATGCTCAGAGCGATCCACTGCAGAGTTGACAGCTGTGCAGCATGCCGCTGCTGCGGTGGAGCTTTCCCTGGAGATTCACGAGCAGAAGCAAAGTCTTGCGAGAATTCGGGATGAGGCTTGTCACACGCGAGCTATGACTCCCATCCAGGCTCTTCAATGCACCTTCCAGGCACTTGCAAGCACAGAGGAGCTCGTGCTCCACCTGCTGCACTTGCTGCATGGCGCGCTTGAGCTTGAGCTGGGCGAGGTCCTTGAGTTGAAGGCAAGGCCCACGGTCATGCTTCCATGGGTCTACAGAACACGTGCTTTCAAGAAGCGAAAGGTTTCCAGTTGAGAGTTGAGACACCTGGAAAGTTGGGCCAGAAATATATGGTATTGAAGGCAGCCTGGTTTTCCACCTACTGAGAGCCCGAACCAGTTTCGTAAATGATGCCTCACGACATGTTATGAACAAACGTATATGTATTATATATATATATATGTATATATACATATATATATTTATATATTTGTATATTTATTTATTTATTTGTTTATATTTACTTCTCTATTTGTTTATTTACTTATTTTGTGCTGGCTTACTTGGAAGAATTCCAAAAGAAGGTTATACAATGTTATATAGTAGAAAAGACAAAGCAATGGCAAGGCGCACGAGAAAAAGGCGGAAGCGAGACGCAGCATAGAGACACGAGCAAAGAGGCCGCCATGGGCCAGAAAGAAACGACGGCACCAACAATCAACAAATGCAAAATTTTGGGGGGGTTTAAGGGGGGTTTAAGGGGGGTTTAGGGGGGTTAGGGGGGTTTAGGGGGTTTAGGATTGCCAAGATGACCTAGGAACCCAGAATCAGCTTAGGTGGACAGACAAAGAAAGGATCTGCAGTCAACACGCATTGTGCAACTGCCGGTGCCACGGTGCTCCTGTCGATCGTCCCATGTCTGATCCCAGAAAATTCAACAAACAAGTCGCAACTTCTGGAGGCCGAAGCAGCATCTTACTTCACAGGGCCTTTAAGGGAGGGGCTTCATGGTACCTCAATGGTACCTCAGGAACCTTGGGGAAGCTTAGGGAGCCTTAGGGGGTAGTGGGGAGGTTTTGGGAACCTCGAGTTGCAGACCCCCCCCCCCCCCCTGAACGGTTTAGGGTTTAGGGTTTAGGGTTTAGGGTTTAGGGTTTAGGGTTTAGGGTTTAGGGTTTAGGGTTTAGGGTTTTAAGGATCCTATTTTCAGTTGACCATGAAGGAACTCTTGTCCGCGTCCCAAAAGGGCAGAAGGCCAAAGCTGTCCCTGCGCATATGCGTCAAGCCAGCTTTTTCCGCGGGTCAGGCGACAATCGGAAGCCAGGAGAGCATTGCCCAGACGTTCACGCAGCTGCTGCACCATACCGCCACCACGAGGCATAGGATCGCACAGGACAAACAAAGTTTCTCGATTGCGAAGACGTTTTCTGCGGCCAGCTTGCCACTTGTGGTGGAATGGAACATGTCACAGCCAGAATTGCAGGGCTGGTGCCTTGTGACAGCCACGAGCCTAAGGGTGTCGCTCCAGATTGAAGATGACGCTTGGCCCTCCCACCTCAATGAGCTCACGGTGAGACAGGCCGGCATCAGCCAGCAGCGGAGCAAGCTGGGGAAGATGGTGATGGCCAGGCACCATCCCCGGACCTTCAACCTTTCACTGGACTCCGTCTCGGGACAGGCGGGCAAGTTGTATTCACTTGAGGTTGCTAACAATATCCTCGACCAAGCGGCATGGTAGGGATTTGAAAGCTGCGCTCAAAAACCTTCACTGGCTTTGTAGGGCTCCACATTATCTCCAGATGCTTGCCTTGAATGCATCCCTTGGAACTTCCTATAGGTCCTTGACATGCCTCCTTGCTTCCCAAGTGTGGGTGTGCGCGTGGAAGTCCGGAGCGATCCGAAACACACATGTCGTTTCCCACGCATGCCGTGTCGCACTCTCTAGTCGGGTTGCTAGGTGATATACCACAGACAATGGCGCCATATTGTTCAATGCAGGTGGCGTCCTTCAAGGAGGTGACCCTCGGTGGCGATAAGGAGCACTACGTCCACATTTCTCCAGCGAGCTCATGGATTCTTGCCGGCGCATCCGGCCTGCGACTTCGTGAGGCCAGGTATTTCGAAATTCTAGCACCAGCACCCAGCTAGCTGCAGTTCTCTGGCTGGCTTATAAGGCGTTATGTTTAAGGTATGTGCATATGCATACCCAACCAACAGTGAGTGTCGATACATATTACTGTCTTGAGATCTACAGAACTGTATGTATGACATCAGGGGAGTGTAGAGTAGCTGTGGCTGGTTGCTCCCACGGCATCGAGCCTCAGACATGCATTGCAGGTGCTTATGGAGTTCAAGTGTGATGGAGTAGCGAGAACTGTTGGGGTGCCAAGGAGGGCATCTTTGTAGATCATGGCGTGTCCAGTAGTGGCTTCCCCCCGTGCTGAGCTAAAATCGCTGGAGGGGACCCGGCTGGCAAGGGTGTAGATGTACAGTCGTCTTGCAAGCCGTAGACTCGTAGACGTTTGGCCATGAAGGCGTGCAACAGGAAGCTCTTGCCATTCGCATAGGGCCATAGGGTCAGACAACTTACTGCGGCTTGGCTCCTGGCATTTTGCTTAGATTGATGGCAGTTTTGTGGCCATGCTGGCAGACTCAAGTGTGCAGAGAGTTTGTTTCAGCTCGCGCCCTCAACACTCTGGTTTCCGAGCATACTACTGCAAGTCGCTACGTGGAAAGAATCCTTGCCTAAGGTCATGCCCATAGCAGCAGCTGGAATCTTCAATTTTAGGCCTCAATCAAGCCGTTATGGGCACAAATCCGTTCGCATGGGGACGGAAGCAGGGGGGGCAAAGAAACTCTCCATGCGCAGTCTCACAATGTCAGAGGCACCCCCCCCCCCCCCCCTGTCTTTGACACGCAAAGGTGCTGACCGATACAGGCACCCCCCCGGGAAGCGGTGGAGCACCATGACACAAAATCTCACACAGGAAGGTCTGCAATCCGCAGCCCGCTCCCCAATGTATCTCCACTGCAGCTTGTAGGTCGAGCCCGTTGCATTTATTCCGAGTGCCTTCGAGGGAAGAAATACCAGCAGCGTGCCATGCCCGAATGCCCCGGCTGCAAGAAGACCTTCGACCAGGCCGAAGCCCTGAAGTCAAAGATGGAGCTGGTACCTCAGGATACTTGGAAATGTTTTGTTTTTTAAATAACTGTTTGGGCACTTTCATTCTTAAGCAACAGCATTTTTTTTTTAAATTTTTGCTAGGGTTCCAAGATCAGTACAGGTACCAGTGGCATCGAAGGCGGGTGCCGTCAAGGGAACCGTGGACATCATCCGCCAAGGTCCCTTGGGTGTGGTGAAGTTCTTCGTGGGCGTCCTGAGCAAGGGCGATGGGAACTTTTTCATCCAGCTCTACAATAGGGAAATTGACAGCGGCAAGTGCATGGAGTGCTCCAAGTTTTGGGCATACCAACTGTCGAAGTGAACGTGTCCAGTAGAGGCTTCCCCTCGTGCTGAGCTAAAATCGCTGGGGGGACCCTGCTGGCGTGTGGCTGCTAGCAAGGGCATAGATGTACAGTCGTCTTGCAAGCCGTAGACTCGTAGACGTTTGGCCATGAAGGCGTGCAACAGGAAGCGCCGGCCATTCGCATAAGGCCTCAGACAGCCATTCTTCTCAATGTCGCTACAACTTGCTGCGGCTTGGCTGCTGGCATTTTGCTTAGATTGATGGCAGTTTTGTGGCCATGCTGGCAGACTCAGGTGTGCAGAGAGTTTGTTTCAGCTCGCGCCCTCGACACTCTAGTCTCAGAGCATACTGCTGCAAGTCGCTACGTGAAAAGGGCCTTGCCTAAGGTCACGCCCATAGGCTGGAATCTTCCGTTTTAGGCCTCAATCAAGCCGTTATGAGCACAAATCCGTTCGCATGGGGACGGAAGCGGGGGGGGGGGGGGCAAGAAACTCTCCATGCGCGGTCTCACCACGTCAGAGGCACCCCCCCCCCCTTGTCTTTGACACGCAAAGGTGCTGACCGATACAGGCACCCCCCCGGGAAGCGGTGGAGCACCATGACACAAAATCTCACACAGGAAGGTCTGCAATCCGCAGCCCGCTCCCCAATGTATCTCCACTGCAGCTTGTAGTTCGAGCCCGTTGCATTTATTCCGAGTGCCTTCGAGGGAAGAAATACCAGCAGCGTGCCATGCCCGAATGCCCCGGCTGCAAGAAGACCTTCGACCAGGCCGAAGCCCTGAAGTCAAAGATGGAGCTGGTACCTCAGGATACTTGGAAATGTTTTGTTTTTTTAATAACTGTTTGGGTACTTTCATTCTTAAGCAACAGCTAAAAATTTGTAATTTTTGCTAGGGTTCCAAGATCAGTACAGGTACCAGTGGCATCGAAGGCGGGTGCCGTCAAGGGAGGCGTGGACATCATCCGCCAAGGTCCCGTGGGTGTGGTGAAGTTCGTTGTGGGCGTCCTGAGCAAGGGCGAGGGGAACTTTTTCATCCAGCTCTACAATAGGGAAATTGACAGCGGCAAGTGCATGGAGTGCTCCAAGTTTTGGGCACACCAGCTATCGAAGTTGTGAACGTGTCCAGTAGAGCTTCCCCCCGTGCTGAGCTAAAATCGCTGGGGGAACCTGCTGGCGTGTCTGGCTGCTAGCAAGGGCATAGATGTACAGTCGTCTTGCACGCCGTAGACTCGTAGACGTTTGGCCATGAAGGCGTGCAACAGGAAGCGCCAGCCATTCGCATAAGGCCATAGGGTCAGACAGCCATTCTTTTCAATGTCGCTACAACTTACTGCGGCGTGGCTGCCTGGCATTTTGCTCAGATTGTTGGCAGTTTTGTGGCCATGCTGGCAGACTCAGGTGTGCAGAGAGTTTGTTTCAGCTCGCGCCCTCAACACTCTAGTCTAAGCATACTGCTGCAAGTCGCTACGTGGAAAGAATCCTTGCCGAAGGTCACGCCCATAGCCATAGCAGCAGCTGGAACGAATCGTCCATTTTGAATTTTTAGGCCTCAAGCCGTTATGGCACAAATCCGTTCGCATTCCGGCATTCTGTAGATTGCTTGCAGGAGAATGCGCCTGGCAGAGAGCTGCTCGCCCAGAACGTCCACTCCCATAGCCGCGGTCGGAAATGCTGGACTCCTCTGCTATAGTCCTGCTGAACTAAGAAATCTGATGTTGAGTCAGGCATAGTTTACATAATTTTACATATATATATATATATGTATATCAACGCAATGTGGGAACTGTGGAAGGTCTGAGGCCAATCCCTCACGTGATTCTCACACATGGAGCACAGGTTCAACAGGGACGTGCATGTCAGTGACCGTGTCCACTGCGCTGCTGCACGGGCATCAATGCTGCTGCATATGGCTCCATGGTGCCAGCAGCGGGTGCCAAGGGTTTGAGGGCTCAGAAGTTGCAAAAACTACATTTATTGCGAAGCTTGTTGCAAGGTAAAATTCCACTTCATGTTGGAAACCTTAACTTCTCTGCCCAATTTGGATTGTAGCATTGGCTACATCGGCATTGGTATCCTAAACCCTAAACCCTAAACCCTAATTAAACCCTAAACCCTAAACCCAAGGAGTTGCCCATGGCGCTGGCGCCGCGTGCCCTTCGCCCGCGCTGGGCCGACATCCCGATCGGTTTCTGCTGCAACGCCTCGAAAGGCCGAACAAGGCTAAACCATGAGCCGTAAAGGGTTTAGGGTTTAGGGTTTAGGTTTTAGGGTTTAGGGTTTTGGGTTTAGGGGGTTCGAAGTCAAGGTTGTCTCAAGACCATCATTCCTGATGAGCCACCATGTTCTCGACTTGGCACAAGCTAACGAGCGCGCAATGTTTTCGAGTTTTACCAAGGTCGGTTTGAATCTATATCTCTGCTGTGTAGAAACACACAAAGTTTCCAAACATTCCCCCTTTGTAAAGACGTTTTGGTTTTCAATCCGAATGATAGGCTTTCAGCACTTTCAGTTCTGGCTCATGTACTAGGATCTCGAGTGGCAAACTTTGTAACACATGGGTGTCTCTGACAAAGAGCAGAATGACTTGTTCCCATCTGTTTCTAGCTTTGTGAATAGAATGTTGGGCAGATACCAGCAGTTCTATTGGGCAGATGGTTCTATGTGGATGTCTAGCTGTTGTGTATACTATTATTGGGCAGACGGATGTCGCAATTTTACATCAGAGGATCCCTTACGGGATTTCTAGCATATGTGAACAAAATAGCAGAAGGAGATACAAGTCAATAAGCATTCGGGCTTTCAACACATATTTCACTGTGGGGCAGATGGAGATTCAAAATGAGATGAAGGCAATCCGATTTTGCTCGAAAGTCACAAAGCAAAATAGCTTCACGAGAAACACGAAAAAGCTTGCATAGCCAAGTAGATACATATTACCTCTCGGCTGTGATCGCAATTCTCACCCCAAGCTCCAACGCACGCGTTCACCGGCCCCCACTTGGGGCTTCTGGGAACTGTTTGTACAAGAGTTCCAAGGCACAGCGCTGTAATGTTCTGTCGAAAGTGCTGTAGTGAGTTTCTCGGCCTGCCCAGGTGAACAGTGTCGTGGGCCGCTGGGAACGTGTCATGCCATGCATTGCCAAGATTTCTTCGCGCACAGTATGGAAAGTTGCCCATATTGCCACTCCTGGGAGCACAGCAAGGCAGAGTCTGAGAAGTTTTGCTTACACTGCAACCAGAGCCGTTTCGCAGACAGCAGGCGCCGAGGTGGCATGAAGCAGAAGTATCGGGAGTGCCGGCGAAGTACGACGCCTGAAGGTCTACTAGCCTGCATTGTCGATGGTCTCACTCGCAGCCCGGATGTCAAGCCGAGCTTTTTCGACGTGTGTGATGTGTGCAAAGACAAGGATGGCGGGCGTCCTGGAAGGGTGGAGCCGCCGAAGCTTCTGATCATTTCGCACACGGGGCTTTTCAGTGAAAGGCGTGCCCGACTGCGGTATGAGGAGGAGGGTGTAGGCCCCCACTTCGTGATTAGCAAGACGGGGCAGATACGGCAATATATCCAGCTGGAGAAGGTTGCTTGGTTCGCAGGGGCATCTTGGCATCCGCAGTTTGGTGAGAGGCTGAACCGCTGCTCTGTTGGAGTTATGCTCGAGGGGAACGGAGAGAGCAGGAATTTCACAGATGAGCAGTATGAGCTGCTCAACCTGCTGTCGAAAGCTATCGACGCTTGGGCTGGCGAACATTGCTTGGTCCACACATGCCTGCGCGATGTTGCTGGTGACCATGTGAGAGGCGAAGGCAAGGGCCACATCGCACCTGGACGCTTTTTCGCAGCGGATAGAGTGGAAAGTCAGATGTGGGAATCCAAGGGCTGTGTCTGCGACACGGTGTGTCCTGTGACTTAGGGTTGCGGCGGCTTGAAGGGTGCTGCCTTGTAGCTTAGTGTGAAGGATTGAACCAAACATCGCTCGTGCGGCATCTTTTGTGCAGATGTCCTAGGTAGGATAAGGGGGACCCTTCAAAAGGGGACCCTTCTTAACCCTCTCCTGGCTCTCTTAAACAGGGGCCTTATTCAGAGGGTCTATATCCCCAAGGGTCCCCCTAATCCTATCCCCTAAGATGGTAGGTGCCGTATTTGTTTATGCAGGCTCGTCTGAGGAAGGCGTTCCCGCCCGGTTGGCCTTCTTGACTTGCTTTAGCATGTCAGGCCCAGAGTTCAGCTGATCCCGAATGCAAGACGTTACAGCCCTAAACCCTATACCCTATACCCTATACCCTAAACCCTAAACCCTAAACCCTAAACCCTGAACCCTGAACCCTGAACCCTGAACCCTAAACCCTAAACCCTAACCCCTAACCCCTAACCCCTAACCCTAAACCCTAGGCTAGTCATTCAGACTGCGTTGGTACGCTGATGCAGCACACGCGGTGAAGTTTTCAACTGGCGCCCTGGTGCACCCCGCAATCCTCCGAGACCAGTCGTTCCAGAAGCAACTCACCCCCCGACCCCGAAAAGTCCCCTTCAGGGTGTAGGGTTTAGGGCTTAGGGTTTAGGATTTAGGGTTTAGGGTTCCCAACCACTTGAAAGCATGAACTCTTTGCCTGCAAGATGTACATATCACCGCTGCAGCCTATTGTTTCGTCCACGTGGGGTTCCACCTCTATCGTCGTCCCTCCTTGCTTCCTGTTATATCGCATCCCTCGTAAACCCTAAACCCTAAACCCTATACCCTAAGCCCTACTGGCGACAAGACTTGCACCGACACCATGGGGCAAGGCTCCTTCAGCATGCTTATAGCACCGTGACGTCTCCGTCTGCCGTACAGTGTGCGGATGTTGATTTGCGGCGGTGAGTACGGTAGCCCTTAGCCCAGTCCCGCAAGCAGCACAAGGAGCAAAATCAGCAATGGCCCCACCGTGGTAGCAAGATTGGGGACACAACTGCGATGTACAGAGTTGGGCTTTCGAACTTCTGGGGCTCTTCGTGCACGATCTCTAGCAGTCCCAGCCGGAGACGAACAGATAGAGTTGGTCTACACGGAAGTGGGTTTGGGTTGAGGCTTGAGAGTGGCATGGAAGTAGATGCCTACGTCGGTTGATCAATCGACATCAAAAGAGCACGAGGTAGGTAGCTTTCACATGCGGGCCTGCATGACTTGGCTTTTGCTAGTCTGCTGCCTGCCCTGCTCAAGTCGAACAACCATCCAATCACATTCATATGCTCAACCCAAGGAGGTTTAAGGAGGCACAAAAACAATAAGGCGAAAGCTTGCCCGATCTTGCAAGAGCAACCAGGACTGCAACTGCAAAAGCTGCGTTTACCGCCGTCTCTGTACAAGACTGCAGAAGCAATAGGATGCAAGCCATGCGGATCGGCAACGACCTCAGCGCACGGAATTGTCAAGCGGCTTTGTTCTGCGAGTCTGTTCTCTACCCTATAAACCCTAAACCCTAAACCCTTCTACAGTTGCCACCTCCATTTGATTTGGTGTGCGAGTGGCAGGCGAGAGTTCCCAACCGTGTGTGGACGAAGCCCCTTATGCTTGTTGGAACGTGCTCACGCTTGTGTGATCGTTCCTCGTCTTGAGTAGGCAGCATGGTGGCAGCAGATCTGCGCAAGTCTCACACTAAGCCGCAGCAATCACCCCCCACATTTGTCTGGCAATGACAGAGCCCAGCATTGTTTTCTCATACGCTCGTGCCTACGATGCCAAATAGCCAGGACTTCAGTCTATATCCCCCTTGGGAATGATTTTAGTGTTTGTTTATATAAAACTAAAAAGGATATTTAACACATTATTTGTTATTAAGGTTTTAAGGGGAGCATAGCAGTTCCTAAAACTGGAAGTCGGCGGCAAACAGTGAGAATCTTCATCTTCGTCCATGAACCAGCAGCCGGGGTTGCAAGAGTGCCGAAGATTGCAACATGTCTGCTCTGGGAAGCAGGTTGGGGGGGGGGGGGGGGCACAAACCCTAAACATTACACCCTAAACCCCCAAAACCCCAGGCCTTAGACCTTAAATCTTAGACCCAAGAGCAATGGTGTGGGTAATCGAGGTGCCCCACGGCCCACTGCGCAGGTGCATGGCCCAGGATGTGAGCAGTTGAGGGGATGTTTGGAACCCTAGAAAGAAACCCTCCAATACCCTAAAGGGTTTAGGGTTTAGGGTTTAGGGTTTAGGGTTTAGGGTTTAGGGTTTAGGGTTTAGGGTTTAGGGTTTAGGGTTAGGGTCCAAATAAAACCTATGTAGCATATACTTGGGCCCTACAGCTTAGTCTATAGGAAGCCCTTGATAAGGCCCGAGTATCTACTATATAGGTACATGGACCCCCTTGGGGTCATAAGCAGCTTGAAGCGCCATAAGGCCCTCCAGTTCCTGAGGTGCTGCTTATTGGTTGGAGGTTCAGGATATCGAGTTGGCAGGTTCCCTGAAGGGTGTCAGCTCGGATGCACATTAAAAATGGGGACTTACGAAAAAAACGGGGGATCCTTAGTATAGATGCCCCCAAATAGAAGGATCCCCCTTGGAATAAGGACCCCAATAAGGTGCCCCTAATGTCAGACACTCTAAACCCCAAACCCTAAACCGACCCGCATAGAAATACGAGCCGTGTAATGTTAGGGTACTCTGGCCCGAGAGCAATTCAGCTGAGGGTCTGTGCCACCTACACTGGCCCAAGAACTCTGCCTCTAATCTCGCGAAAACCCTGACAAGACATGAGCTTTAGGGTTTAGGGTTTAGAGTTTAGGGTTTAGGGTTTAGGGTTTAAAATTTAGGGTTTAGGGTTTAGGGTTTGGGGTTTAGGGTTTAGGGTTTAGGGTACCGAGACCCCTAAATCCAGCAGACCGCCCAAGGTCATGCAAGACCGGGGAGGCCTGGAAACGGGGCTCGACGGAATATCTCAACAACGGAATACACTTCGAAATGCTTTGGAAATATGTTTTTTTGAGTTTTTGTGTACTTTAAAGTACTAAGAAACAGCCAAAATTACATTTTTTAGTTTTTGTGTGCTTTAAATTACTGAGAAACAGCTAAAATTATCGTTTTTGCTAGGGTTCCAAGTTCAGTGCAGTACGCGTGAGGCTCCTGAGCATGCAAACCATGCATCCAGTTGAGTCCAAGGGTTCCTGTGCTTATGGAGGCTTTGCTTTTTGAGCATGAGGGAAAGCTGCGCTTGGAGTTTGAGGTTACGTGCTCTGGTTCTGGGTTCAAAACGCTCCTCTTTGACATCCCACAGTTGCTTGGTTTCTGTGCAACTTGCGCTGCTTCGGTCGCTTGGGTAAACGACTGGGCACCGGGCAGAGGCAGCGGGAAGGAAAGAAGGCCGCCCGTAAATGCCTAAGGCTTTGTATGTTTCAAACTTGACGGTGTAGCGTCGCGGGTGAAGGGTTCCAAGCGCGCAGTTCCGAAGCCGCTCAAGCAGCCGCGCAGCATGTGATTGCTGAGGGGAGTCGCATCATGCACTTCTCGCATTACTCGCTTGGTTGGCATGATTTTTGGGCCGTTGCCGAGTTATGGTTATTTACGGTCTTTCAGGGGGGTTAGGGTTTGGGGTTTAGGGTTTAGGGTTTGGGGTTTAGGTTTGGGGTTTTTCGTCCCTGGCAGGCAGTGCAGCAGTCTTAGCCGTAAAAAGGTTTCGGGTTTAGGGTTTATATCGGGTGTCTTTTGTTTGCGCCACCTGCCAAACCCTCGGCAGGAGAACTGGACACGGTCAACGTGCGCGGCTCTGGCGCTGTGGACGTATCACAGGAGTCTTCCTGCTTTGCTATGTGCTCTAAGCCCTCAACTTTGTCGAGTTTAGGGTTTAGGGTAGCCATAGGAGCTCTGAAGCAAAAAGGGTTTAGGGCTTACACAAACCTTCAACTTCAACTACAAGCTCCTATAGCGGGGGTTTGATCAGGATTTCTTCCATCTTACTTTCGTGGGTGTATGTTTCGAGTGGTTTTTTTCCAGGAGCCATGTTCGGCTCTAGGCTTTGGGGTCTCTCTAGACCGACTCCTTGCTCATCCTAAACCGTAAACCCCAACTAAGCCGAAAGTCGTGAGGCGGCAGCTCTCATGGGCACCATCACTCGTCCCCCGCGCTGCGCACGTCAATATAAATGAACCCTATAATTGTAGATTGTAGACCTTAAGCCCTTTCCCTCAACCACTCAGCGCCAGAAGCCTAAGACCCTCCAGCGCAAATTTCCCATGTCCAATGTCCAGGGCACGCAAAACCCAAACAACTCTCCCCTCCCCCGCACATTACAATTGTCAACCCTCCCCACCCATACTGCCAAAGTAGGGGGTGGATGGCTTTGTTGGTGGAGGGGACGACCGGCCGGAAACATCTGTCTGAGCTCCTAATAGTACCCGTGGTTTGGGTTTAGGGTTATGCTGGGGCTGGTAGTTTGGAGGTGTTAGGTACGAATGTCAGTCACCTACCGGCTTTCCTTTGCTTTAATCAGAAGAAGCACGTGGACTTGGTAGAGGGACCATAAGCGGGGGACCACAAACACAGAAGACCCCCTACCGATAGACTGCAGATGGTCAAGGAGTTCCAAGGAATCGGGAATTTCTGGAACCTGCAAATGGAGCATCGTAGAAACCAGGCAGCTAGAGTTTGTAGCCGACCTCCCTTTGTGAAGCAGCCAGTCCCCCCCCTCCCAAACCCTGCACCGCCGTCACCCCAAACTTACCAACGAAACCCAAACTCTATACCTCCACCACCCAAACCTAAGCTCAACAACGGGGCAGATAGTTAGTAGCTGCATGAGCACGCTGTACACTTTTTGGGATACAATAATCCCCTATAGAATTGAAAGTGTACACTTTGGGGGGGGGGGGGGCTTATGAACTCAGCAACTAAGGATACAAGAGCATGCGCGCATGCGCGCGTGCCCCCAACCGAAAGCGCACAACCGAAGTGATGACACCAACACAGCTAGTCAGGATGGAAGCGCCCCCTGATCCCAAGCCCAAGGTTTATTTAGGGTTTTTAAGGTTTAGGGTTTAGGGTTTAGGGTTTAGGGTTTAGGGTTTCCGGTTTAGAAGAGCCTTTAAGCCATCCAGAGAACCCAGGACCTGTACCCCTACTGCATCGTTTGGACACCCATCCCGGGCTGCACATGGTGCTTTCCTTTCATCGGCCAGACCCTCGGTTGGGTTTAGGGTTTAGGGTTTAGGGTTTAGGGTTTAGGGTTTAGGGTTTAGGGTTTAGGGTTTAGGGTTTAGGGTTTAGGGTTTAGGGTTCAGGCCTTCACACAGCTGACTTCAGGAGTCTGAGTTCAAAAAATGGGTGTAAGGGCTGTCGGGCCTTAGCATTCTGCAAGAGGGCCTGGATGCCAAAGGAGGGGAGGACCCAGGGGGGGTATAACCCCCTCTCCCCCGAATGAAACCACCACTCCAATATCAAACGCGAATTTGACAGGTTGTCTTGGGGTCCCAAGCTCCAACCTGGTCAGACTTCCGCGCTAGTTCCCTTTTCTTACTTCTTACTGGTTCTGAACCATCTGGAACTCTGGGGGCGGATTCCACAACAGACATAAGGCATCTACCCTACTAGTCAACCTGTTCCCTCAAACTCCCGGGGAGACCCCTTGGGGTTTAGGGGGCTTAGCATCTAAGGTTAAGGGTTTAGGGTGTAGGGTTTAGGGTTTGGGGTCAAGTTGCTGTCCATTTTTGGGCCTTTAGCAGACAAAAAGGTGGCTTCGGGATGTTGGGTTGGGTTATTGAGCATCTCTTGGTAGGGTTGGGTCAGCTCCTCGGTTGGAGTTGTTTAGAGAAGAGGGCCTTCATCGGGGGAGCCGTGTTTGGATTTGGGGCTTCAGAGATTAGACTCTGCAAAGCACCTTGGGGTTTAGGGCGTAGGGCTTACTTGGAGGGTCATGGTACTTATTAGCCAATTCTAGCTGCACTTAGAACACACTTATAAGCCCCTTAAGTGCCCTCATATGGTTATAAGTACAGTTATAAGTACAGTCATAAGTACAGCTATAAGTACAGTTATAAGTACAGTTATAAGTACAGTTATAATTGGTTAATAAGTACCATGAAACTCCAAGTAGGGAGTCGGTCTTAGGTTTCAGGGTACTTCAGGGCCACTGTTGCTTCGGCCAAGGCCACATGGGCATCGGAACTTCGACCGGGCAGGCGAGATTGAGGGTTTAGGGTTTAGGGGTTTAGGGGTTTAGGGTTTAGGGTTTAGGGTTTAGGGTTTAGGGTTTAGGGTTTAAGGCGAGGTCTGGAGTTGCAGTGAAGCTTTGCTGAAGGAGTTGGAGAAAGAAGCCATGCGAAGACAGACCGAGCATCCTAAACCCTAAAGGTGATGATTCAGGAAACAAGATATCTGCCTCAGTAGGGCCAAGATACTTGTAAACCCTAAAGAGTAGGCAAGGGAGGGAGGGGGGGGGGGTGGGGGGGAGAAGTGTCAACCCACCACCACTCTCCCAATGTAAGCCTGCCAGACAGGTGGCTGTACTCCCGAAGCCCTAACCCCCCCCCCCCCCCCCCCCCCCCAAAACCTTGAACCACTTCGAGCAAGACAGCGCCTAAAGCACAAACCCTAAACCCTAATCCCAACAACCATGACTGGCCTGTCCGTAAGCTGTTAAACCCTCATCCCTACTAGGGCCTGGCCCCTACACTTTACAAGCCCTAAACATTGAAACAAAAAAAACAAAAAGAAACACACACACACACACACACACACACTCTCTGCGCTGCACCCCAAACCGCAAGGTCTGGGAGTTTATGGGCTTCGGGGCCACAAAGGCGCCAAGAGGCCGGCTGGGGGGTTGGGGGGTGGGGAGGGGGGCAGGGGAGGTTTTTGGGTGGGGTGAGGGGGGGTAGAGTGTGAAAGGCCCAAAACCCACAAGAGCTTTGCTGCCATGGGAAGGTTGCTCGGTTTAGCTTAAGGCCTGGGAGTCTGCTCTAACTTCTGGTCCAGTTTTTTTGTCCGTCTTCCCCTATTTTCGTGCACCCTAATATGCCCTAAACCCTAAAACCCACAAAGGGCGCAGATCTTGTATCAGCTGGGTTTAGGGCTTAGGGCTTCGGGCCCAGAAGCTTCATCAGCCTCCCCAGTTGTGGGGATTGGGCGGTCGATCCATCAGGGTTGGCGTAGAGAAAGAGGCGCCTTTGAAGCTCATCACGAGAGGAACAGGGCCCTCACGATGTCCCGACTGAAGTCGTAAAAGGGGGGCGGGAGAATTATTCATAGTAGGCGTAGAAAGCACCGAACTCTGTGCCGGACACCTAAATACACCATGCTTGCATGAGCGACATAAACCCAAGCTGCTTCAATGCATCAGAAGATGCCACAAGCCCGAGACATTTTATGATCAGGGCCCTCATGCAGCGCTCATGTTCTCACGACCGAAGTATGACAAAAGGGGTGGGGTTTTGGGACTGGGGGTCTGACATTCCATACAACCCCCCCCCCCCCCCCCCCCCGTTATAGCGCCCTTCTTCCCTTGCAAACCCCACTGGGGGAACTCGTCAAGGAGGCCTTAAAACCCCTTTCGCCTGCGGTTCCTGAGAGGTGGGCTTTCGTTTGGCCCCGTTTGCTGGGAGCTCTGCGACAAGAGGGTTCTCGTGGTTAAGGTTTGTTTTTTTAGGTCTTTGTTCGTGGAGAGGGGTGGGGCGATAGGAGAGGTAGAGAGGGGAGGGCTGGTGCGGGGGCTTTCAGTTGCAGTGTTCTTTTCTTTGTCGGGAGTCAACTTCCGTCAAAGGCAGCGTGGCTATGCAGCATTGATGTCCAGTAAAGTTGGGCAGGGGAGGCTTCTGTCGGGTGCCCCTAAACCTCAAACCCAACCCCCTGCAGGTGCTGTTCTAGGTGGAGGTTGATGACCGAATCCCGTATAGTCATTGTACTAGGGACCAGGGTTTTAGGGGTTCGGGCTTAGGGTTGATGTCTGTAAAGCCCTAAACCGACCCAAAACCCTAAGCCCAGAAACCCCAAGACCCCAAATCCTAAACCCCAAAACCTACAATCCCTGCGACTGAGAGGAACCCTAAACCCCCTAACCCTGAACCCTAAACCCTAAACCCTAAACCAATGATCTCTCGCATAAACTCTAAACCTTATTCCCTAAACCCTAAACCCTAAACCCTAAACCCTAAACCCTAAACCCTAAACCCTAAACCCTAAACCCTAAACCCTAAACCCTAAACCCTAAACCCTAAGCGGCCCCCGAACCCAACCTCTTGGCCCAAGAGGTCGATACGTGCAGCTGAGCCCAAAGGCGGTTCGCCGAGGAACGCTCACCTCTCAGTCCTTTGGGGCCATTGTGGGGAGTTTAGGGTTTAGGGTTTTGGGTGAAGGGTTGAAGGGTTTAAGGGTTTAAGGGTTTAGGGTTTAGGGTTTAGGAAGTTTAGGGGTTGAGTTTTCAGGGGTTTTGGGTTGGGTGTTGATAGATAGGGCACCTTAAACCCGAAACCCTAGAAGCCCTAAATTTGGGAATTTTGGGCGAGCAAAAGTTCAAAAGGGCATGCAATTCACGTGGTCACGGTATGGAGCTTCGTGTCGCTGCGGGTACTTCTGCAGCCATACGGCAGACACATGTAAAATTGCCAAGGTCATCCTCACATGGGGGTTTGCGACATCAGGGGTACCATACTGGGGTCCTGATTGTGGGGGGGGAGGGGGGGGGGGGGGGGGGCGTACAACTTCATGGGGGGCCCTTGCTATCGTAAACCCCCATATGGTCAATTCTCAATATAATCCTTACAGAGTTTTCATACCAGCTACCCCAAATACCCAAAAAGTTTTTGACAAACTTTGAGGCTGTTTGCACAACTCCGCATAAAGTTCTCTAGGCATACACATCGCACTCTGGTAGCGCATTCGATGTAATTGACTTTGGTCCGTACACTTGCCATGCCATGCAACTGCGCGCACCTACAAACGTTCGTGTTTCACTTTGAACACAACAGACTTCAGTCCACCCAAACACCCGCTCTAATTAACTGGGCCCCTAAAATAGGCTTTTTTGAGCTTTTTGGTATGATCTATGGCCTGATGGTCCAGGTTGCGGGAAGGGTCGAGGGGGCTGATGAGACCGGAACCAAAAAAGGGTTGAGGGGTTTCGGGTTAGGCGGACTTGAAACATAGCAGTTTCTGCACTTTCCTGTTCCCCATCGCGGTGGAAAGCCGTGAGCACACGCTTGCTACGCAGGCCATGCTCCACCCTCCAGAGATCCGCGGGTCAAGGGTTTTGGGTTTTAAGTGTTGGTTGAGGATTTCGGGTTCCATATGGCTTGCAACCCAACCCTAAGGGTCCACATACCAAAAAAGGGAATGCTTGGGCCTTAAAGTACCACCTGTATGGCGACTTCGGGGCCCAAGTATATCATAAGGTACATGCACCCGTAGGGTACTGCTAGGGCTCATGGTACTTCCTAACCAGTTATAGCTGTACTTATAACCGACTTATAGCCATACTAGGGCACTTAAGGGGCTTATGAGTGGGTTATAAGTGCAGTTATAATTGGCTAATGAGTACCATGAACCTCCAAGTAGGGCATGCTGGAGGTGGGACGACGCCATTGAGGCGGGCTTGCAGAAGGCTTGGTCCTCGGTACATGGGACTTGCTGCTCTAGGTTTGCAGCAGGTTTGGGGTTCAGGGTTTAGGGTTTCGAGTTTAGGGTTTCGCCTGGGCCATTCATACCCCAAATTATGCTGTTACCCGTCTTCGGGAACGCCTGCACCCTGCAGTCGTTTTGCTTTGCGAACCCCAAGCTCTAAGCTTTCAAGTGGGAACACTCTTCAAGCTAAAACCCCTAAACCCTGATTCCAGGTTTCAGGCCGGCCTCATGGGGCGTGCATCTCGAACTGCCAGCAGCTCGGGGATTTCGAGCAAGGTTTAGGGTTTGCAGGGTTTAGGGTTTAAGGTTTGGGGTTATTTAGGGTTTAGGGCTGCTGTTCCAAGAGCCCTCCAGGGCGCCCAGCAGCACCCTCCTTTCTTCCATGTTCTGAGGGTGCAGGTTTAGGGTGTTGCGGGAATGCTGCTAGGGGGCGGGCCGGGGGGGTTATCCTTTGCAAGCCTGATTATTACAGAACAACGAGTACTTACTCCCCCAGCATTATGCGAAGCTTGAAGATTTAAATTCATCGACCTCTATTGTGGGCCAGAGATTTCGGGGGGCCAAAAAGGAAGCTGCAGATTCTGGAAACTTCGGAGGCCGAGTTTGATAGAAGTTCTTTCTGTTTTTGATTTCGAAACAAAGTTCCCAAACAGTCTTCGGCGGCAGGATTGTTTGGGTTGTCCGGATTGGCAGAACGTGGCAGAACCTCTCCGCAAAGGCTACTGCATGCTCCTCAATCCTCGACTCCTCAACCGCTCCACGGGGGGGCGCGGGGAGGGGGTTGGGCAGATACTAAACCTTAGTAGCCCGGTGGTACCCTTTACCCTTTTTTGGGTTATGGGTTCCCTTATAAAGTAACCAACCTAAAACTGGGTGCCCTTATCATAATATGGTTACTGGGCTACTGAGAAACCGAGAGCAACATGACTGGCGAAGCTACTTGGAGGTTCATGGTACTTGTTAACCAATTATATGAGTACTAACTGTACTTACAACAATATTAGGGCACTTAAGTGGCTTATAAGTACAGTTTTAATTGGTTAATAAGTGCTAAGCACCATGAACCTCCAAGCAAAAGGCCTTCTTACTGTTAGCCTTCAAGGGTCGCCTCGAGCGAAGGACATAAGCCACTCGAATTTCTCATTCCTGACCTGGCTCACATGGGTAGTTCTCTAAATTCGGATCCCTGTGTTGGGTCCTGCAGTCCGGCACCCCTTACAAAAAAGAAGGACCACAACAGAGTCAACAGAGACCCTCATCTTGAGGGCTACCCACATGCAGCTCCCTGCAGAGGCGCATGCCTCCCTACAAAAGAACTTTTGACCAAGCGCGCTGCGGCAGCATTGCCTAGGCCCTATAGGCATCCGAGGCAGCAGCCAACTCTTAACTTAGGATGCCCTTAACTTTGCATGGGCTCTTTTTTGAATCATGGGAGTCTGCAGCTCGCAAAGTATCAAACCCGAGTCTCGGAAAGGCTCTCCGACCCGCGCCGAGACCTGAAACCTCCCTAAACCCTAAACCCTAAACCCCAGCTTCAATTAATCCCGAAGGCCCCCCCACCCCCGACCCACCCAGCCCCAAATCTCCTTGAGCCCATTGTAAACCTTTTCAACCCCCCTTTTTTAAAGCCTAAACCCCTAAACCCCTAAACCCCTAAACCCCTAAACCCCTAAACCCTAGGTTGGTGGGGGCAGAGCTGGGTTTTCAAGACGCTCAGGTCACAGCTTCGTGGCGGATTGCTTGCATGAGATGCGGTGCGCCTCATGCTTCGTAGATGAGGGTTTAGGGTGTGGAGTGCTTGTGGTTTAGGGTTTGGGGGTTTGGGGGTTTGGGGGTTTGGGGGTTTGGGGGTTTGGGGGTTTGGGGGTTTGGGGGTTTGGGGTTTGGGGTTTGGGGTTTGGGGTTTGGGGTTTGGGGTTTGGGGTTTGGGGTTTGGGGTTGGGGGTTTGGGGGTTTGGGGGTTTGGGGGTTTGGGGTTTGGGGTTTAGGGCGCTAGTTAAGGTCTTAGGGTTGAGGGTTTAGATGGTCCAGGGTTGAAGAACTTCAAGGGCTTCCTCCAGTAAGGGATAGTAAGGGCAGTGGGGGCTCGAAGGCGTGTTTGTCGGGGTAAACCGCAGGGGATGGATGGTGGCAATCTCGTCGTTGGCAAGGCTGACGAGTATGCGATCGGTTTCCTGTGGCCTTCCCGGCCCGCACTTTGAGGGGTTTAATCTTGGGGTTTCTGGATTAATGTGGGGTCTTTTGGTCCCTTCCAGCTACCCGAACTGTAAAGCTCGTTATAACAATGGCCCTCCGAAATGATGGGGCCTTCATGGGAGGGAGGAGCTACCATACGCTTGAAGCACTGGAAGCTTCGTGGTCGGGCAATGTGAGTAGACCCCACTCCACATCAGCTGCAGGTACGGAGGGGTCCCTTGCTGGAACTGGCTGCGAAGGGCCGAGCACGACAGTCAAAGGGTGCGGAGGGACGAGACCGATTTCAGAGGTGCCTTTGTGAAGGTCTGGTTTTGATGCACTTTCGCCTTTCGAAGTTAAGTATCCACGCGGGCACACGGAACTCTGTAGCAAAGTCTGGGTGTCGGATTAAAAGGCTGGTCCCTTGAGACGCTTGGGTCCCTCTGGTACCAACACATAGTCCCCCTTAGTGTACAGAAGGGGGGGAGGGAACCAGAGTTGGTAAAAGTTCCCTCCCTCACGAAAAGGCCCTAGGCCCGAAACCCCTCCCAAAAGGACCCTAAACCCTAATTCCTAAACCCTAAACCCTGAACCCTAAACCCTAAACCCTAAACAACTCGCTGAGGTCGTATGTGTTGGCCATTTGGCTCTTCATCTTCGCCGCTCAGCTGCACCTTCCCGGCTTCGAGCTTCGGGTTTTTTTCCGTTTTCAAAGACCCTAAACCCGAAACCCTAAACCCTAAACCCGAAACCCTAAACTAAACCCTAAACCCTAAACCCTTGAAAAATCGGCGGGATGGTTTCATAGGGGCAGGAATTTGAAAGGTCTGAGCCTCCGCAACTCTTAGGGTCGTACAGGGTTTACAGACTCCAGTCGTAAATCCTGGTTCCAGACTCGAAGAAGGACCCAAGAAGAGTTGTAGGTTTTAGGGGCTTTAAGACAAGGACCCAAGAAGGTGAGAGGGGATCATAATTTGGAGAACTACCCTCCGACGAAGGCTCTTGCGCCCCAGAGACCCACAACCTCATGGTTCTTGAAACCCTAAACCCTAAACCCTAAACCCTAAACCCTAAACCCTAAATTTACTGACTCGAGCCCTGGCAAGGGACATTTCACGACGTTCCCACGGACTGCGGCAGGGCACCCGAGCCAGCGGCGTGACATGCTCTATACCACCCTAAACCCTAAACCCTAAACCCTAAACCCCAAACCCCAAACCCCAAACCCCCCACCCAAATTACCGCCTGCGAGCATCCCTCACCCCTACCACAGAATATGGCCCAAATAGCCGATTGCTTCCTTTCGCGAAAGTAAGGGCCCTTTTGTCCCAGAAGGAGTTTGCGCAACAAGTCCCGGAGTCATGACCGCGTCATATTTTGAACCCTAGATTACTGGCTTTAGGCTTCCAGGATTCCGAAATGTGGGTCCAGTTGGCCAGTTCCAGGTTCAAGGTCCGTTTGGACTTCCAAATATAGCATTTCTAAATGGACCCAAATTCTACAACAACCCAAATGGACATCAGGGCCGTGATTCTGGGGCGGTTCAGCCGGCATTCATGCGGGTGTGACGAATAGAAGAAAATGCCGCGGGTGCTAGGAGTGTCCCGGCGAGTGCAAAAAGTCAATCTGCTGCAGCGCGCCATTCAGCCGCTTGGGCTTCAACGTTTAGGGTTTAGGGTTTAGGGTTTAGGGTTTAGGGTTTAGGGTTTAGGGTTTAGGGTTTAGGGGCAGCAGATCCAAGGCATGCCGGCCAACTTCTCAGCCCCCACAGCCCACCATGGAAACTGAGCCAGATCCAGCTTGGAGCCTTGTGAAAGTCTCTTTAGGGTTTAGGGTTTAGGGTTTAAGGTTTAAACCCTAGGGTCTAGAATGCGGGCCCCTTTTGGGGGAACCCTCAAGAAGAGTATTCTTAAGTAGGCACTCCTCCTCATGCCCCCCTACGGAACAATGAAGAAGTCCCAGGTTCAGGAGCTTTCCTGTTAAGGGTTTAGGGTTTAGGGTTTAGGGTTTAGGGTTTAGGGTTTAGGGTTTAGGGTTTAGGGTTTAGGGTTTAGGGTAAAACTCACAGTCCTTTAAGCTGGCTGCCGCCCACATCCCATGAAGCAGCTCGCCGTCGATGGCATCGCCGGGCCGATTTGCAAAGTCCGGGGGCCTACCTCCCTAAACCCTAAACCCTAAACCCTAAACCCTAAACCCTAAACCCTAAACTCTAAACCCTAAACCCTAAACCCTAAGCCCTTTGGTTTGGCTTCAAGATTTTAGGGTTTAGGTTTCGGAGGCGGGCCACCGCTAACTCGACGTGCCCTCCAGGAAGTGGGTTGGGGGCACAGGGTGCACATTGCACTGCAGCCCTTCCTCAACACAAAGGGTTTTCGGGTTTAGGGGTAGGGGTGCACAGGGTCCTCAAGACCAACCGCAGGCTTAAATCCTACTTTCTTGATGTACACACCTTGCTCTTGGTCTTGATTTGTCGTCACCTTGTCGGTATCGTCAGTGGATCTGGGGTTTTGGCGGTTGAGGGTTCTCAGGGCTCGGATGCTGGGCACGCAGCAAGGAAACCTTCATGTAAGGAACCTACCACACAAGTCCTTGTACCAGGAATCCCCTTCCGCTTGTGCCAGCCTGCGACATTAGGTCCCAAGACCCAAAACCCCAGCTGATCTCATAAGAAGCGTTGTATGTGTCCTTCCCGAGGTTGTGGTGGAAGACTCCTGGACAGTAGACAAGCTGAAGGACTGATGTGCTGCAATGGCAAGCAGCCCAGTTTCCGGACTAGTCCCTAAAGGTGCGTCAAGGATGTAGGAAAATATCCCTAAACCCTAAACCCTAAACCCTGAACTAAAAGGTGGGGATCCCCAAGCATACTTCTCTCTGACAAGAGCAAGAAAACGGTGTCAAGTGGAGTTGAGGAGATGGTCTTGACATGTGCCCGGCACGTGTAGGGTTTAGGGTTTAGGGTTTAGGGTTGAGGGTTTAGGGTTTAAAGTTTAGGGTTTAGGGTTTAGGGTTTAGGGGTTTGGGGTTTAGAGTTTAGGGTTTAGGTGCGGCCTGGACTTTCTTCTGTAGGAAGCAATTGAGCTGGAGAGCGGCATCGGGAAGGAAGAGCAACAACTCCTCTCAGGCCTGCACAAGCCTCGAATGTCAGAGCCCTTCATCATGTACTTAGGGTTTAGGGTTTAGGGTATAGGGTTTACGGTTAGGGTTTAGGGTTTAGGGTTAGGGTTTAGGGTCTAGGGTTTAGGGTTAGGGTTTAGGGTTTAGGGCTCGCGGGGTCAAAAAGGGTTTAGGGTTTCGGTTTGGGGTTTAGAGTTTAGGGACATTCCTGTTGAGGCTTGATTTGTAAGCTTGCAATCGCCAAGCCGAACCGGTCTTCCAGGGACCCTTGGGCAAGACCACAGTAGAACAGCATCTGTCGAAGTGGCCCGCCTCTTTTGCGCACTCACACCCCTAAACCCTAACCCTAAACACGTTGTGGGACTTCAAGCCCAAAGGTTGTCAAAGGTTGCACTTCTTTCGCCCTAGAAATCTTCTGCTAGTTTGAGTGAGTTGAGAGAACGCTTTATGTACGAATGATCTTGCGTCACGATGCGTTGGCCTTGGTAGTAAGACGTCTACGTACCCTTACATGTGGGAATGCCTGAAAGGCTTTAATCATGCAGGTGAGGTGTCTGTCCTTTGAAAAAAACGTAGCCGAGTGAAGCAGCTCATGGCCTATGAGGCTTGAGAACTGCTGAGTGGGCTTGTGGGTGGGGCAGCTGAAATTGAAACTAGCAGCTTCCCCATACGTGCTGTGAGAATCGCTTGGGACGGCACGGCGGACACAGAGAGAGAGAGCGAGAGAGAGAGAGAGAGAGAGAGAGAGTGAGGGAGACCGAGCAGAGAGAAAGAGAAAGAGAGCTACAAGCGGTTGGTTGGTTGGTTGCTCGGGTAAAATCAGGACGTCCGGCCTAGGCAACGTCTGTGGTACCGAAAGCCGAATGCGAATTCACGCAATCTTCGCCGGGGGGAAACCCCTCAACGCCCCTCAAAGAAAGAAAGGAGGAATGCTAGAATTAAAAAGAGAGAGAGAGAGAGAGAGAGAGAGAGAGAGAGAGAGAGAGAGACAGACGAGAGACACTTGGGTAGTTGTCGAAATTGGGGGTCCCTTTTTGAACACCCCAAGTATTTTGGTGCCGTATTATATCAGGGACCCCAAAAGGGACCCTTTATTTTGACAACTACCCACTTCTATGAGGCTGCGATGAGCTCTGGGACGGCGCCTCCCTGGATGGTGCCTCCGAGGTAGGGACCTAGTAGTAGAGTAGGTAACCTTGAACTTCTTTGGGGTAGGGTAGTAGTATTCCCCTTGTAATCCCTGAAAGGTTAACCTTTAAATCCCCTAGGGAGACTGAGGGGCTTGGGGACCCTGAACTTTAGGGGCGCATCCTCTGCAACCCCTTGAAAACCCGGAGCTGGGCTTAGGATCTATCCTAAGCCCTGCGCCCTAAACCCTAAACCCTGAACCCTGAACCCTGAACCCTGAACCCTGAACCCTGAACCCTGAACCCTAAACCCTAAACCCTAAGCAAGACCAGCTACACCCATAAGCCTTTGGGTAGCCACCCTCCCTGCAGGTGACGCTGCTGCGCCGAAGCCCGGAGAAGGCCGGGGTTCTTTTGCCTTCCCTTAACGTCCCGAGCCATAAATGTCACTTACCATACTACAGTGGTGTATATGTATATGTACATATACAGATATATATATATATATACCGTTTCATATGTGTATATATATATATGTATGTATAATGTACACACACATATGTATATATATATATATATATATTAGATAATTCAATACTGATGCATGGAGCTCGGTGTGCTGGGTTAGATTCCAAAGCGCCGAGACATCCGGTGAGTCAGGTGGATCTTCTGCGCAGCATCAACACCTGCGAGGCTCAGAAGGCCCCCTGTTGCGCATGCTCACCAGCCTTCCACTGCTGCGAATAGTTTGTGCGCCAGCCAAGAGACTAAGAAATTTTAGGGTTTAGGGTTTTTTGGGTTTAGGGTTTTTGGGTTTTTTGGGTTTAGGGTTGAGGGTTTAATTTAGGGTTTAGTCTTTTTAATATGAATGAGAGGACAGAGGCAGAATCCCCGTCTGCCATGGTGAGCCATCGCTCAAGCACCCTGCAGTTGCTGCGCGTGCAAGCGAGGCTCACTGTTATGGAACCCGTGAGCTGCAGCACCCCGAAAAGAGATCAAAGTCTTCTTATGCCCTGATCATCTTATGCCTCATGGTTTAGGGTTTAGGGTTTAGGGTTTAGGGTTTAGGGTTTAGGGTTTAGGGTGCAAAAGCCCTGCAGACCGACACCCTCGCCACCATTGATGAATAGGCAGGACCTTGACATTTGGCATAGGGGGGTTCCTGTAAATATACTATTTGGGGTATGTTAAGGGTACCCCTGTTGGGGAAAAACCCATATATTCCCTTACAAGATTTCAAGAGGACGTATTTTATTTAGTGTTGGCACATGTGTTTGCAGAGGCTCTGAAAGCCCGACCTAGCCTAAGAAGCCTAATACCCTTGCCCTGCAGCGCCCCTGAAGCCCCCAACACTTCAGAGAATCCAGAGAACCCGAAACACTAACCCCTAACCCCTAAACCCTAACCCTAAACTCCAAACCCTAAACCCTACAACCCTACAACCCTAAACTCCAAATCCTAAACCCAGCCTGGAAGGTGCTCTTTCTCCTGCGCACAGCCCCTGCCATACTCCGCTCCGACCGCGAGGCAGGCTCCCAGTTTGCAACGTGGCTCTTGTTGGGCGGTTGAGGATTGAGGATTGAGGGTTTAGGTTTAGGGCTTATGCGGTTTTGGATTTTGGGCTGGGGTTCTGGCGGTTTAAGGATTGAGGGTTTGGGGTTTAGGGGGTTTCGGGCTGATAGGGTTTGTAGGGTTTAGGGTTCAGGGCCGGCACAAGTCCGAGAGCCTGCCCAAGGTTCAGCATCTCAATGTTCCAGCTGTGACGAGGTAAACAGCTCATGAGGGGACCGATAAGTACCCACCCGCCTGCGAACTTCCCCCCCCCCCTCCCCGTAAAACCCAAGCATGTTCTTTTACCTATGCGCTGCTTTCAAGCATCCGCCCTATAAGCAAATCTCCTTAGACTTGGCGTTCAGGCATAAACCGGGCTTAAGGGGATAAGCAGCAGCAAAGCAATTCCATGTCGTAAGGACATCGAGGCCTCCCAAAAAAGTCCCGGAGAAGCAACCGGATTCTGAATTCGCACTGGCTTTCAAAAACATCAGTCTGTATCTGAATCTGTGTTCAGATATACATATATATATATATATCTGTATATGTATATATATATATATATGCATATATATATATATGCTCACCCCCCCCCTACGACAGACCCCGGAAGCGAAAAAAAGGCTACGGACAGCATAGCTGCACACAGCAGCCAGACACGTTAACAAACAATAGATATATACATATATATATATGTGTGTATATCTATATATGGTACCTCCCTCCCCCAAAAAAAACACGTCTCCATATGCTCTTCCCTGAAGTCCGACAGATCGGCCTGCCAGTTTGGTCATGGTAGGGTTTTACGAATTCATTAAATATTTACTCAACTTCACAGATTTGTCTACCGTAATTGATTTCAAACACTTTCGTTAACTTCGTTGATTCCAAAAAGCTTAATTCACGTAATTTGATCCACTCAGCAATTGCTCGAGCGAGTGCTCAAACAGAAGTGACCTGAACAATTTGCTGGACATCGTGGATTGCTATTAATTTCAATAAGATTGCTGTTAGTTTACTTGGGTTCCCATTTGAGTTCAATAGGAATCCCATTTAAATCAATAGGAAACCCATTAAAATGAATGAGAGCCCTATTGAAATTGAGACGAGTCTTTGTGAAAACTTAGTAAGAATCCTAGTACAATCAATAAGAACCTGGTTGAAATACGTAGAAGCTTATTAAATTAACAGGGCTCCTATTAAATTTTCTTGGAGTCCTAAATTCAGAGGAATCATAGGAAGGCCATTGAAATGAATAGGAACCCTTTTGAATTCATAGGAATGCTATTTAAATTAGTAGGAACCCTACAAAAGAATCTATGAATTCTTTTACGAGTAACAGGAATCCGTTTAACATGAAGATGAATCCTATTAAAAGATTAAGAGGAGCCAATAAAATTCTATAAAAAAGTAATGTGGACGCTTTAAAACTTGAAACAATAAGAGTCGTACTGTTAGAACTATGATGGACCCTATTAAAACTTTTAATAAATAGGATTGTTAATAAAATTAATAAGAGTTACAATAACATTACTTCGAGTCCAAGTGAAATGAATAGGGAACAGGATTTAAAAGCATAATCGGAGCACTGTGGAATCTAGTAGGAATCCTATGAGCATTGTTAGGAATTATTAGGAATCCTGTCAACATGAATGAGAAAACCTGCTAAAATGAATACGAAGCCTATTCCAATTAATCAGAAGCCTTTTTACATGAATAGGAAGCTTGTCAAAGCAAACGGAATCCAATTAGAAATTGTACGACATCTTATGAAAATGAACAAGAAGCCTATTGACATTAATAGGAATATGTTTAAAGTTTGTTATGATGCTTATTAAAATTCTTAGGCTAATTTATTAAAACTTTTATTAAAACTAACTAGGAATAAGAATGCTATTAAAATGACTAAGAATCGTATTCAAATTACTTGGCATTTGGGTAAAATGAATAGGAATCAATCTTAAACCTAATAAAGCCCTTTAATAGGCATCCTTTAAAATTCAATACGAACCTCATTAAACAAATACAGGAACCCTATTGAAAATCACTTTGAATGCTAGTAAAATGATTAGGAATCTTATTCATTAAATAAAGACCACCATTAAAGTGAACAGGAGTATTGTAAAATTGAATAGGCAGCCTAAATCATAATAAGGAATCATATAAGAACCCCTGAAAAAATCTTATACAAACTCCAGTTTCCAAAATTCCAAAAATCCAAAAATCCACCCCAAAGGTTTGGATTTTTGGAAACTCGAACGGGAGCCTCAAAATCCAAAAATCGAGCAAATTCCTCGAGTTTCCAAAATTCCAAAAATCCAAAAAAATCACCCCAAGGTTTGGAATTTTGGAAACTCGAGGAATTTGCTCGATTTTTGGATTTTGAGGCTCCCGTTCGAGTTTCCAAAAATCCTAAACTTGGGTTGGAATTTTTGGGTTTTTGGAATTTTGGAAACTCGAGCGGAAGCCTCCAAATCCAAAAATCGAGCAAATTCCTCGAGTTTCCAAAATTCCAAAAATCCAAAAAAATCACCCCAAGGTTTGGAATTTTGGAAACTCGAGGAATTTGCTCGATTTTTGGATTTTGAGGCTCCCGCTCGAGTTTCCAAAAACCCGAAACTTGGGTTGGAATTTTTGGAATTTTGGAAACTCGAGGATTTTGCTCGATTTTTGGATTTTGAGGCTCCCGCTCAAGTTTCCAAAAATCCGAAACTTGGGTTGGGTTTTTTGGGTTTTTGGATTTTTGGAAACTCGCGGAACTTTGGAGTGTTGGTCTTCCGCCCCCTTCCTGGACAGACTGGAAATGCAATTCCAGGGTCTGTCGTAGGGGGGGGGGGTGACCATATATATATATACACATATATGTATGTTTAGGATGGTCGAAGGGATGGGAGGTGGAGAGACTGCATCTCACGACAGAGCTTCAGCCAAGCTTTTCGACCCGACACACCAAATATAGGGGTCGGAAAAATTACTAATAGTATTCCCCTGTGGTCCGTTTATAATTATACTAGGACAACCCCCCCAAAACCCTATTCTAATTATTTAGGCCCCTGTCTTAACCCTTGAAAAGTGGCGCAGGTCATTCTCAGTGCTGTCCAGAGGAGCCGCGGCCCTTCTTTTGGGACATGTCATGCTTTTCTTTGTTTTGCGGGTTTAAGAGGATCTTGTTTGGGAAGATTGGGGGAATTCCCCGAAAAGAGGGAGCCCCTTTTTAAAGCAATGCTGTAGAAACCCCAAGAGGAACAAATCGTCAGACGGTCTTTAAGGCCCACCAAGGCTCGAGTATGAGCTGTTGGGGAATCAGGCTTCGGGAGCATGAGAAGCCAGGACTTCAGGTTTAGGGTGTAGGGCTTCGAGGACTGTTGGGGCTTGAGCGTTCAGGCAATCTGTCTCGAGAGCGCTTAACTTTGCACACAAGACGGTCCCTAAACCTCAGAACCTATAATCCTGAACCTCATAACCCTGAACCTCCTAAACCCTAAACCCTAAACCCTTAGAACCCAAAACTTTCTCTGAGCCCTGCGGGCACAAGCTCCAGAATCCCCAACGTTGCACCATCCCCAACTTCCGGCGCCAAGCGCGCCCAAAGCCAACCCCGCAAGGGTTTAGGGTTTAGGGTTTGGGGTTTAGGGTTTAGGGTTTGGGGTTTGGGGTTTAGGGGGTTCAGAGTGGTGAAGACCTCCTCAAGTCCAATGCTTCGATCCTTCCCTTCGCCTGAAGATGTTGCCTTTACGCGGTGCGGGTGGTGGGAGGTGGGGAGTAATGTCAGAAAAATCCCACCCCTGTGGCAGGGATTAACGCCCAAACTTTTCAGGTGAGCTTGAGCCGTTGGCACCAGCAGACCCCCTTTTTTCGCACCCTAAACCCAAAACCCTATACCCTAAAAATCCTAAAAACCGTCAACCGCTTTGAGCCACCCTACGATTACCGTCTTCCCCACGTGAAAACTCAGCCGGCAAGCAAGAGGCCGAAACCCTAAACCCTAACCCCTAACACCTAAACCCTAAACCCTAACCTCAACCCCCTAAACCCTCAACCCTCAACTCTCAACCCTCAACCCTCAACCCTAAACCCTAAACCCTAAACCCTTCCGCCAGAAACGGCTTGGCGCTGCGCTTCGCTGCACCGAGCCTCAGGGCCGAGAAGGCCACAGAACGTCGCGGTTGCCCTTCGGCTTGGGGTTTGGGGTTTAGGGTTAGGGTTTAGGGTTTAGAGTTTAGGGCTTAGGGCTTAGGGCCTTAGGGCTTAGGGCTTAGGGCTTAGGGCTTAGGGCTGAGGGCTTAGGGCTTAGGGCTTAGGGCTTAGGGCTTAGGGCTTAGGGCTTAGGGCTTAGGGCTTAGGGGGTTTAGGGTTTAGGGTTTAGGGTTTAGGGTTTAGGGTTTAGGGGGTTGAGGTTTTAGGGTTAGAGGTTTAAGGTACAAGGGTTTACGGGGGGTTCAGGTTTAGGCTCTTGGGTAGAATCAGGGTTACTGGTTTTAGGTTTTGGAGGTAGGGTTCAGGGTCCCATTCAGGGTTAGGTAGGGCTGAAGGGTTAGTTTTGGGCGTAGGGAGGGTTGGTGGTGTAGGGGTGCAGGGT